CTGATAAGGACTAAAAATAGATTTCAAACTGTTGTAGACTTGGTCATAGACTATTCTTTCGAATACTTTGGCTAGTTGACACAGTTTGGATATAGGTCTATAATTCTCCACACAATCTTTAGCACCTTTTTTATGAATGGGCGTAATGAAAGTGGACTTCCATTTGGCAGGCATGACACTCTCCTTTAGAGACCTTTTAAACAGAATTGAAACTGGATTACAGAATTCGGCAGCACATCTTATTATGAACATCGAAGGAATACCATCCGGTCCAGCAGATTTATTTACATCCAAAGATTTTATCATTTCAAGAACCGTATCAGTATCAAATTCAATAGAGCAAATGTCACGAACACCATCAACACTATGCTCGGGATCAGCAAAGCCAGAGTTTGTGTTTAGATCAGGAATTTCAGAGTCCAAAAACATAGAATTACCATAAACCTTAAATTTACGGTGGTATTTATTTTTTTCTTTTACAATTTTTAATAGTGCTGAATTATACCATGGCGGAAATTTGTTTTGGGCAGCTAATTTGGTTGGCACAAATTTATCAATTAAACTAAAAATTATGTCATAGAATGCGTCAACCGCCATGTCCACTGTACCACGGCCGATGAGTACGTCCCAATCAATTTCTGATAACCTCGATCGAATTGACTCGTAATCAGCTCGATTGAATATACGTATAGTACGTTTCGGTGCTATAAGTGGATTGAGTTCGCCAAACTTGACTGCAATATCCAACGCTCTATGGTGTGGGTCCTCCGGTACAAGGGGATCGTGACTGCCAGATACTGATACAAAGTCGTTAGATATTATTAGATCTTATATTCTACCGTGATTATTATGGCTATAATTAGACTGATCAAAGCAACACAAATTCAACAATTTATCTAGACAATGATACCCCACTCGACATATTTCGTCAACTTATTTTTTTTACTTCGTCACAACATGGCGCCTAATTGTCCCCATATTGAATTTTGATTACTATTGTACTCCCATGATTAAAACGAATCGATTGATGTACGAATCATCAAAATTGGTCCACGTGTTTATTTATTTATTCATTTATTGCATGTCACTTAACATTCATGGTGGTACGTTAATTTATGTAAAGTAAGTGTTTGGTCTCTAGTGTGCCACAAAGGAACAAACATACATATATAGACTGTTAAACGCTATAGCCTGTCTGCGCGCCGCGCTTCGCGCTCTTACATTGCGCAGTCGGGTAAAACCCCCTAAATTTTGGACACGACCATACTCAATGACGATTCCGATTTTCAGTAAATTTTGTGAAACGCAAACTATATATATTTCCCCTATTACTTATGTAGAGACACAGTATTGTCAACTAAGCATTTACTGCATGTGTGGTACAGTGCTGTCATATCCACCAACTTTTTGGTAGATCTACCAATTTTCACTTCAGTCTACCTATCTACCACCTAGACCTAAAAACTAACCTAGACCTAAAAACTACCTATTTTTTTAATTAGTTTGACATATCACCACTTTGAATTATTTTTATATCGACGAGCGACGTTGCGATGTATTGCGTGGGCCATGCAACGATGCGTCGAGCATACATAGAGTCCAGGCCATAAACCACAAAAAAAAACGTCAGCAACAGTTCGCCATGAGTTCGGCGTTCGCACAATTTCGCGCCCATATTTTACTATTCCTACTGTGGCCTATTCCCGGTTGGTTTGTTGCGGAATCAATGTTGAATCTTTGCTCCTGTTTTATTGTAAAAACTAATTAACTGCGTATTAACGGTGCTGATTGCTGTTTGTTCTATGTTGCGTGCATTTATTTATATAATCGATTCTGACAGCAGCGAAAGCGATGCACATAGTTCTAGGTTAGGAACTCCGCCACTAAAACCTAGAAAAAGGCGGCACTATGTCCAAAAATATTCGAAATTATGTGAGAAAGACAAGGAATTTACAGGTTGGCTTCAAGAAATTACTAAGGGATATTTTTATTGCAAATCATGTAGGTGTGATCTGAAGTGTGATCTGCATTGCATTGCATGCATTTTTAATCTTAAAAAATCTTCTAAATTGAGGTGGTAGATCTACCAATTTTGCATTTTACATTCTACCAACATTTGGCACATAATCTACTAATTTTCTAAAATTCGGGTTGGCAGCACTGGTGTGGTGCACCACGAGCGATTGAGCCAGTCGCTCTCCGTAGTCCCCTTAGTTCGCACGTATACATTTTTGTATCTAGGATAAGTTGTTTAAGGGTTGTGTAATATTCCGTGTTCAGTGAGAAATAAACTACAGTGTTCCTTCCAACTATATTTACTTTATTATTTGACATAGAAAGATTCTTATACTTATATGACTTAGTAAGTAGTATATATGTGTAAATAGTGTTATATTTTAAACAAAGCCTTTCCTAAAATGAATGAAAAAAAGAAATATAGATAAGTCTGAAAAAATGACTACACCCCACCTGATGTCAGTTGAAGGTAGAGTCCAGACGCGAGGACAGTTGGTACAGCAGTTCTACCTGCCATACCAACCATCCTTACCCTGGCGGCCTGCATGTTGCTTCTTCACGCCTCTTTTAAAGGATCCCAAGGTTGTAGGAGGGAGAGAACACGTGAGCAGGTAGAGCATTCTATTTGCGGATAGTGCATAAAAATTAGTCAGTACTATTTTTTTTGTGACCGGCCACTGCCAGAGCTGGTCGGTGATAAAGTAGGCCAGTGCGCGTAGTCCTCTGAACACTGTTCATGTTATAGACGATAGATTGCCCTTAATGACACCCCGTTACAGTGTAATTGAAGAGGCTCGAGGTGTTTAGTCACCTCCTCATCGTCTATGATGCGGATCGCGCGCCGCTGTACTATCCAAAGCATCGAGCAAGTACATGACGAAGCCATGAGCCAAAGTTTGGACTGGTAAGGTTCGAAAGAGCAAGACATCTCAACAGTATACTGAAGGAATGGGTAAAAACTCCGCTCATAGATGCGGCATGCGACAAAATAATACACGTGCAGAATACATCTACTGGATGACAACGATCCAAAGGTAACACACAAGGCTCTCATGATCAACACCGACGGCTCTAAAACCTCATCGGGCACGGGCGCAATGTTTTCTTTGAGGACCTCAATATACACATCGCTTTCCAAGCTTAATGTATGGGCATCACACAGGCGGCAAGAGCGATCCTTTAAAGAAAGGTAACAGGACAGGAAATACGTATACTATCCGACAGCAAATCAGTCCTACAAGCTCTAGATGCCTGTTTAGTCAAATCGAGTCTCCTACAAGAATGCCACTAAACCTTGAACACGGTAGGGTCAAGCAATTCTATTACCATCTAATGGATCAAGGAACACAGTGGATCACACGGAAACGACGCTGTGGATGAGCTGGTCCGATACGACCCCAACAGGTCCCGAACCAATCGTCCCAATACCGGTAAGCACACACCTGCACTACACCAGCAACACTGGCTTGACCTGTAGACGTGCAGGCAGACCAAGCTCGCTTTGCCACGGGTGAACGCTGTCTTCTCCAAAACTCTCCTACAGCTAAGCAAACCTACATTGCGCATGGTAACAGGTGCTATTACTGGACATGCACATTTTAACAGACATCTTTTCAACTTAGGTGTCACAGACAGCCCCCTATGCAGAGGATGCATGGCGGCAGAAGAAACAGCTACTCCCGTTCTGCTAGAATGCAACGGAGTGGCCGAATACCGGGCTAAATACCTCGGCTCACCGAGAAACCTTTAAGAGGCAGTCACCAATGTGAAGGCTCTGGGGGCGTTCCTGGCGGAGATGGACTGGCTGGAGTGATTCCGGATGATGCTCAGATACTCGATGATCTGGATAAATTTCGGGCTGACGTCCTTCTCTGCGTTGCAAATACTCGCGAAACATCCTTGCGGCAAGTGAAGCTTTTCCACGCGCGTACCCGTAGGTATAATGCATTTGCGCATAATCTTGCGATGAAAATTCGTTATCTCGAGGCATGATATCACTTACCAACAACCTTAATATGAACATCGACATACGAGTAATCACTTCCTTATTTCAGCGTAGAATAAAAATACCTGAGGAGAAGGATAACAGGCGTTTTGAGTGATTAGTTGTCATAAAATGATTATTTTTATTTTCTAATGAGCTCCAATTAAACTAAAAGGAACAATTAAACTTAAGATTGTCAAAAAATGCAAAGATACTACGAAATTATAAAATATTAAAATTACACGATTTCCAATACAACACATTCAACTACAGATTTCAGCAAATAATGCCCAATTAAGTGTCTTTTTTTGTATTTTTATGAAAAATTATGTAGTCGGGCAGTTTTTGAAATTAGAAATTATGGAACATCTTTTTTTATTTCAATTGAAAATCCATTCTGTTTTACTTAATTCATTTTTATTTAGTATCAATATTTTTTTTTTATATCTTAGGTTAACTACAAGCAATAGGCATTCTGTGAAAAAAAAAATTGAAGAAAAATTGACCCAGAAAGAAGTTATACTTTTTTAAAGTTGTCTTATCGTTGAACTTAAAAAAAAATGATGTGGTGTCGTGGGACATGGTGGTAGGAACGAAGTTCCTGCGGCTAATGTAGAATCGACACAAATTGCAAACTCGCTTGTGTATGCGACTGCCGCGCCTACGCACGTCTCATTTAACGGTTTTATTCCACGCACTTTTTTCCACGGATTTTTTCTTACGGTTTTACTATCACATTTTTTTCAGTTCAGTGAAGAAGCAACATGCAGGCCGTGAAACGGTCTCGGCAGGAAATTGTTTTGGCAACAGCATCTGCAAAACTATAATTTTGTACTTACGTCGCTTTTTCTGTGTCATGTCGAGCTGTTGGATTGAATCTGTTCCTTCACTCACCGTATGCGTGCGCATAGAGACGCGAGATGTCAAGCTATGCTCTTGGTAGCCAAGCCCCCTCCAAGCCTGCCGTAAGGAACTTTCGTTCCAATAACAAAAAAAATCTAACTCGAAAACTACGCAAAATCGTGGAACATACATGGGGGTTAAACAGATAGGTATGGTACTCCGCTATCAGCTCGCAATGGCTTGATACCCTAGGAGAAACACCCTGTATATTAATATTGAAATGAAAAACGAAATGCCATGTTCAAATTATATTTCGAGGAAATTTCCAATTTTTTATCGTGGAATCCCGTAGTCTTCAGGATTTCTTCTGTCAATTATTACATACGAATAGTCCCCTTCAGCGTTGTCTATGGTGCCGTATACATGTTCACCTAATTCTATGCCGTTGTTGGTTTCATCCACAGACCGTGGCGGGACTTCCGGTAAAGGTCTGTTTATCGTATTATTCAGTGTTGTGCCTCTACATCTTTTACGGCAACCGAAGTAAAGTGACAATGCTCCGATACAAACGGATCCCAGTACAGCAGATACGTATCCGATAACGATGAGGGCGCTACCTGAAAAAAATAATACTTGTGTTATTTAATATTTTAGACAAATATATACATTATACATTAAGTTACATTAGACTACAGAAAGAGTTTGAAAGGACCATGTGGGCGGGGCAATTATGAGCAGACGCTCATAATGTCATATTTCAAACGTCAGAATGAAAAGTTACTGCCGTCGTGTAGATACGGAACGCATGCTAAGATTGAGTGTACTGTTGGCGGTTCAGGATAAGTGAAAAAAAAAACTAATTGCGTATAGGAGAGAGATGCGAATGTGTATTGTATACAAGACACACTACGCTTTCCCCGTAAATTTGAAATAACAAAAGGAGAATATCACAAACCTCTTTTTGAAAAAGTATTTTTTTTATTATCGCACGATAACCAGCTGTTAATGAGTGACATAAAATCAGTAGTTGTCTGTATTCACTAACAAATAATAGTGTCAAATCTAATGTGTATGAATAGTGCCTTGGTGGGTTTTTTGTTAAATGTAAATAAGCTTCACTTACAATCAGAAGTTTATTTCCTTTATAATTTCGTCATAATACATATCACGATCTCTTGAAGCTACGCCTACGCATTTACAAACGTTTCCCTAATTGTATGTTTTACCTGAAAACGACGTGTAAGCAATCGCCGTTACTAACAAGAGCATAGCTTGACATCTCGCGTCTCTATGCGCACGCATACGGTGAGTGAAGGAACAGATTCAATCCAACAGCTCGACATGACACAGAAAAAGCGACGTAAGTACAAAATTATAGTTTTGCAGATGCTGTTGCCACAACAATCTCCTGCCGAGACCGTTTCACGACCGGTAGCAGCTTGGAAAATGTAGTATTCTTCCACTGCTAGTCTTTTTTATAGTTGGCGTTTCTACGGGCGATGGTGGATTTGTAATCGGTGGAGGTGCATCTAAATCTGGAGTGCACATCACATAAGCTGGCTGAAGTCTATCGATAGTGACTGTGGACTCTCTGTCGTTGAGGAGTATTTTTACAGATTTTGCATTTCTGTCACGTGATTTAACCATGTGTGTATGGTGATTCGAATATTCATTTTGCAGGACAACGGCGACGGAAGACATAATCGGCTGAAGTGATATCCTTGGGTAAGTAGAATGAAGTTTTAGTGTGTGATGACGCTGGCGTAGGCGATATCTTCTCTGTGTTGTCGCAGGCGAGTTACAAATTCTGCTGGATCTAAAGTGCTGACATGGTGGGAGTAATGAATTCACCTGGCAGTCGCAGGGTCTCTCCATAGACTAATTCCGCAGCAGAGCTTTTGATGTCCTCTTTCAAGGCACTCCTCAAACCCAGGAGTGCTATGGGAAAGGATTCAGTCCATTGTATATCGTGTGGCCGGTAATTGAAGAATTGAACTGGCGTTGCATTATCTCGCCCATGCCGTTGGATTGCCGTTGGATTGAGGGTGGTAAGCTGTCGTCGAATTGTGTTTGGCGCCGACCAACTTGGAAAAGTATAAGAACTCGTGCGATAAGAACTGCAGTTTCAGGGCAGCCATACCGCGCTACCCAGCCCGACATGAAGGTAGCAGCACACGACTCTGCAGTTATGTCTGAGATTGGGTATGTTTCAGGCCACCTGGTGAAGCGATCGACAGCTGTGAGGCATTACCTGTAACCGCACGAGTATGGCAAAGGGCCGATTAAATTGAGTGGCAACCTGGGAAAATCTAGAGAAAGGAACCAGGAAGTGAGCAAAAGGAGAGGAAGTACGATGGGTTATTTCGCTGCGTTGGCAACTTCGCATCGTTGTACCCAATTTATGCAGTCCTTGTTGATTCCAGGCCATACAAAACTGTTAGCTACAATTTTAGCTATTGCTCTGCGATAAGGATGACTGAGGTTGTGCAAGCTGCTGAAAATTTGCCTTCGAAAGCTTGGAGTAATGTAAGAACGAGGTTTGCTTTCTGAAAATTTACAGTAAAGATCGTAAAGTGGCAATTTCCTTGCTTTAGGCCTGTTCCATTTGTTATCAGTGACTATAATTCAGAATCTTCGGTCTGATCACGCGCAAGGAGGTTCATAATTTATTCCAGAAGTTACCGCGTCAACTCTGGAGAGTGCATCAGCCACGATGTTACTTGGTCCGGAAAAAAGTGTCTTAAGTCGGTAGTATCCTGGGATATAAAAGTCTAGATATCTGAATTGTCATGGTGAACAAGTGTCTCCTTTAGTTTGGAAAGTGAATGTGATGGGTTTATGATCAATGAAAACAGCAAAGTTCCTGGCCTCAACCATATCTCCAAAATATTTAATACCCTCATACATTGCGAGAAACTCTCTGACATATAGGCTGTATTTCATCTGCGAAGGTGAGAGTTTTCGAGAGAAAAATCCTAGAGGTGACCAAGAATTGCATGTTTTTGCTGTAGTACTGCGCCAATAGCTTGATCAGACGCGTCTGTAAATAATGCAAGTTCTGAGTAGTTCGGAATTCGAAATTGCGAATGGTAATTCGGATGTGAGAGTAGAGTGACTTCGAAAAGGCCTCTTTTACACTCATCAGAACTTATTTCAGTTCTTCTGTTAATTGAACAGGCGGAGACTTTCGCTTTTAAAGCAAAGTTAAGCGGACTTTGAATTTCTGCTGCGTGAGGAATAAAGCGGCCGTAATAATTCAGCATTCCGAGAAAGTGTCTTAATTCTTTGGAAATTTTGAGGAATAGATAATCTAGAATAGTGGCAACTCTCTCCTTGAGTGAACTAGTGCCATCGGCAGAAACATCATAACCGAGAAAAGTTACCTGATCTGTGCCCCAAATGCATTTCGATGGGTTCAATAGTAAGCCGTATTGTTTAAAACGCTAAAATACAGTTTCTAGGTGTTGTAGGTGTTCAGTTTAAGACGAGGAAAAGACGAGGATGATGAATCAATGAATGAATAAAGACGAAGTACAAGGTCAACTGCTGTAGGTTTAGACCTAGTGCAGTGTCTCTGAGAATAGCACAAATTTGATTTAAGTATTTTCAATCCGGAAATTTTGATGTCAGAGATGCACTTCGCTCTGGTCACTCTAGCACGGATAAAATGGATGCCATTTTTGAAAAAGTGAAAGTAGTAGAACGAACGAAGTAAAAAAACTGAAAATTGACCACAAAAAAGTTTTGGCGCATTTGATAAAAGCTGGGAACACAAAAAAGCTCGATATTTGGGTGCTTCGCGAGCTCGCTGAAAGAAACCTAATGAACCCTGTACTCATTTGTATTTTTTTATTCCGACGTAATGAAATCGAACCATTTTTGAAGAAGCTGATAAATGGTGATGAAAAATGGATCACGTACGACAAGAATGTCAAAAAGAGGTCATGTTCAATGCATACGCCTTATAGTCCTGACTTTGCACCTTAAGACCTTGTACTTCGTCTGCGTTATGGTTAGTGTATTTGTAAACCTATTATTATTTTGGGATCAGGAGTATCCTATGTCTCATTCCAAATTTTAAACTGTATAAGTTTGATATAAATCCGTTCAGACCTTTTTTGCGTGATTGATTAACAAACATACAAACTGTAAAATTTATAATGTTACTAGCGGCCGCCTGCAACTTGGTCCGTGTAAACTTTACTTTTTTGAGAATATCGCAGGACAGAAATCTAATATTTTGGCGAGAAAAAAAGTATCCTATGTGTTGGTGTAGGTGATACAATATATGTGCAGTTTCTAGACAATTTTAAAAACGCTGGTAATAAGTTTTAAATGTTTTTGTGTGGTTGTATAAGTTAGTGAGTCGTTTGTATGGTGAAAGTAAAGCGATATACACAGTTCTTGTCAAATCAAAAGGATAAGTAAAATCCATTAACATTGACTATATATCTTCGCAAGTGAACGTCACCACCTCCGGAGACTAACGCACGGCGGTACTTAGGCAGCAGGATTTTGTAGCAAGAACAAATGGTCACTACAATCAAAGGTCTAGCGTAAAATCGTATAGCACGTCTATAAACTGTAGAAATATATTTCCACTAAACGTTAGTGGTATTGTAGATACGACGAGAAAAAACGTTAGCCCCAAGCGCGCGCGAAGTAATGAGTGTGGCCGAGCAATCACAAAACGTCGATACCCGATCAAAATTAGTAAAACAATTTTAACTTACCATTCTAACATAAGGCAAGAACTAAACAAAATGTACGTGCTAAATTTCGTCCGGATCCGTTTCAGGCGTTTTAGCTTTAAAGATTAACAAACATCTATACAAACTTTCGCAATTATAATATTACTAGGATTAGTAGGACATATTATCGCTTGCATGTTCATGTTGTGGACATAGCATTGTTGTTGTTATATTATGTAGGGTAACATAATTAGATATTAATATTTAAATTACATAATCTTAAAAGTAATTATTGTCTAAAAACTTAAAATCAGAATTAACTACTTCAATAATATACAACTTACAAAGTAAAAATCTATCACCCCCAGCGCTGATGTTAGGAATGGTGCTTAATAGGGTGGCAGCATGTCCACGTTGGATAGCAAAGCTAACTTGTTGACCAAGGTTGCTGCTAGCCTTTTGTCACCTCGGTGAGTCTCTTAGATAATTTCTTAAAAAAGTACCGAGCGCTGGGACCCCATGGTCCCATAGTCTCAACACCAAATGACACAAATATGGGGTTCTCATTGAGATCTGAATATTTGTGCCGCTTGGAGCTCTCAGCAGCGGCCGCCGCCGCGTCCGCAGTAAGGGAGTTACTACCTGTATGGAAAGGAGTAAGCATATCCGCCCAAGTAGTTGCGTCCCATACAAGAGGACGACCCTGCTTCCAAGGAATGAGCGTCATTCCGTCAGGTCTCTTACCATCGTTTCAGAAGATGACGCTAGGCTCTAGGACCGCTGTCACATTTACTACGACATGAGCTCTACGGATAACGTCATTGATGCAGGCGTGGCGGGAGATTTGACCAGTGCTCATTTGGCATGAGATACTATGGCGTACCAACTCACCGAAGCGAGTTTCGCAACGACAGCGTTGGGGGTGATTGGTCTTGACGCTAAGTCTAAGTGAAATGGCAAGAGAAACAATGCTCCTGTCAAGCAAAGTCCCGATATTGTCTGAAGAAAGAACTTTCAGCCAGTATTCAAACTCTGCCTGAAAGACTGCTAGGAGGCTAGCACGCTCAGCTGCATTATCAGAGGAAGCTAAAAGATCACTCTGAAGACGCAAATAGAGTGGCTCGTCCCATTGCCTGCGAAGATAAGGAGGATGTTGGATCTACTCCCCGGGATGCCCCATACCAAGCATTCCTGGTCTCTGAGAGGTGAGCCAGCCCAGCTCCACTGCGCCTAAAGAAGGACGTAGTATTTTTTTAAAGAGTTCGGCTGCACCCTGTGCAGAAAGACAGAAAAGCGGCAAGGGTAATGTGTGAAATTTGGCGAGTACCTAGTCCTCCGAAATAAACAGGGAAAGAGGCCTGCTTCCGAGCGTTAAGTGTCTCCGTGAGCGAACTGCTAATAGATGACATTAGCTCTGGAAAAAACCTATAATGAACGTAAAAATATATATATGAAGTTTGGGGCACAAGCGCAAAAACGAATTAAATACAAAGCCATGTGAGGATTTATTTTAAAATAATTTTCAGAAGACTGCTGTAATTTGGAAATTTGTAAATCCATGAAAATCGGAATCGCATCATCAAAGATGGGGGGAACGTAGGAGATGGAGTGATTTATTATCGAGAATTTCAATATTAGGAGCTTAAGCCGAAAATTTAGTAATAATGTGTTTTAACTGAAAATTTGTATTCTGGTATAAATAATAGCACGTATTTTGAATAACTAAGGCCGAGGCCGATATTTTTAATTTATCAATAATAACGTGAAAATCGCAAAGAACTTTTGTAATATCGCCAGCGATATTTCCGTCTCAAGGTACCACACATTAAATTTTGAATTTAGCGAATTTATAATGGATTGTATTTCCAAAATAAAGATAGCGGGCCCGAGAAGATCGCCTTGCTGACAGCCAACAGATGGATGCAACAGGTTGTTTTAAAGGTAATTATAAATAGTAGGACTTTTTCAAAGCAAGGCAGGCATCTCTATCTACAGAGTTGAAGGCGTTCTTGACATCCACCTTTGGCACCATCTCCTCAGCGTCAAGCGACAGAAAGGCTGCTTCACAGCCACCCTTGAGGCCAAAGCCAAGCTGTACCGGTTAGAAATCAGCTGAAACTGACGGTTAAATATGGTGGATGCTATACGGCGAAAGGTGAAGCCAACAGCGATAGGGCGAATACCGCCGTCTCTTTTCTTAGGAAAAATTAAGTTGGTCCCATAAAGGATTTCTACAATATCTTCAGGGACTTTGCCGGATAGCACTAAGTTTACCAAAAGAGTGATATTGTGTAATAAGACTCTGCCAACGTCACCGACTCAGATGGAAAGAAGGTCTTTTAAATGTTGTGGTGACAGACCATCTAAACCACTGGCAGAGCCACTTTTAAAGGAGAATATTGCGGCTGAGATGTTAACTTCTTGGCTTATTAAATAAACATGTTTCGTATCATGTGGCGAAGGTAAAGGAGTCGGTGCTGGAGGTGGGTGCTTGTCCTTAAGAGCACTAAGGGTCTCCTGGCCGTCCACGGTGACAACATTGTGACTGAACAGAAGGTTGACAGCTCTTCGGATATTGCCATCACTAATTTTAAACTATTAATTTTATGGAAATTTTAGAATTTGCAGGCCGAGACGGAGGAATGGTTAACGAATGAACAGAAGGATTTAAGTGGCAGTTCTCCTTTATTTTTCTGTGTTAGTGAAGAACAAGTACTATTTTGATTAATGTGTAAAATTATAAAGCAAAATGTTAGGAGTTCTGCCTCAGCTGTATTAGAGATATGGTAACGCCCCCTTCTTCTATTGGTACTCAAAAAAATCAACTTTCATTGCAAAAATCCAGCGTAGTGGTACACATCTTTTAATTTAATCTAGCCTATAGCGTCCCACTGCTGGGCGAATGCCTCCCTTTCTACTTTTAATGCGCATATAAATAAAATTAAAGGAAAACTCTGTTTAGCACTAGACTGGCTTTTATACTTATACTTACGAGTTTACAAGAAAAAATGGTCGAACGATTACCTTTATTCTACTCGAACATTACACAAAGTAAATAAACAAATTACACTAAAATATTAATTTCGCTCAAAATTTGGTCAAAATATAATGCATTGGACTAAGAGTGGCGGTGAGGTCTAAGTCTAAAAAATGCCCTCGTACATAGGCACCTCCATATTCTCTTGTGGCCAAGCATACGTGGCGCTTTCACGAGTTACCAATCTGCATGGGATGGACCTGATAAATGTTGACTTCAAGAGTACAAAAGCTCAAGCTTCAGATATCACCGAATACAACCGGCTTAGGCGTAAATACCGTGCCGATCTTTCAGAAATTAAACGTCTAAAAATAGAATAAATAAAGAACGCGAATGGGCAATACGAAAAACTGATGCTAATGTTCAAGAATCGGAACCGGAAAAAAAGAAAAGAAAGATTTGTAATAATAAAAATACTACTCCTAAAAAGATAATAAATGTGTCAAATAAGAAAATAAAATAAAATAAATCATTATGCCAACGTTTCTACAAAAAGAAGTGAAATCCCAACAAAAACATTCTGTAAAAAATTAGCAAAGTCTCGATGGAGCTGCTTGTTTATCTCTAAAAAGTAATGAAATCTAGACAAAGTCGTGCCAAGTCTAAGGTTCCTTACTGCGATTTCTTTATTATTGTAGTTAATGTTGTGTGACTTGGCCGTTGAAGGGTACACAAGGGTACAAAACCAGGTGCTACATGACACCATTGCACCAATGCATTCATACATGCAACATTACGTGTAAACGCAACTTTATCAAGCCTACAATTGACTGGTTATTCAATCAACGTTTTCCAAGTGGCAATTTTCCATCGTCAATAGGAAGCGGTTCTGGCGACAGATTGGTGCAATGGTGTCATGTAGCAACAGCCAAGTCAAGTAACTATAATAATAAAGAAATCGCAGTAAGGAACCTCAGACTTGGCACGACTTTGTCTAGATTTCATTACTTTTTAGAGTGTAACAAGCAGCTACATCGAGAATTGGCTAGTTTTTTACAGAATGTTTTTGGTGGGATTAGTCTTACTCTTATCACACAGAGGAGTAATATCTCTTTTAGTCCTTGACCTTGCAGCTTGCTACTACTTGACAATTTATAGGTTATTTGTGCTTAAAAATAGATAAGCTTATAAAGACTACTTTACGACAGTCACAGGAGCAAAATATGTACTTATAAAGTGCGCCCAATTTCACATTTACAGACACTCAAAAGTTGAATACAAGAGTAAAAAAGATGATCTTAGGATATTCGTAAGATCAAATTTTGCTAACTGGGCGTACTGTGTGTAAAGTACCCAATCACAATTAACATTGAAATATGTTACCGTAATTTTGGTGGTTCTCCTGAGTTAGATTGAGCGAGATTGTAGATTTCGATTGAACACCCACAGGGCTTGTATAGATACACTTAACCTCTGTCCCATTCAGTTCTGGCGAGAGGAAAAAATTGTAAAGTTTTATAGTTTGGCTTTGGTTGTTCTTTACAGTCGGCATGTACGGGCAGGTGCCATCTGTAAAAAATAATAAGATCAAATCACACAATGTTTCTAATTATAATATAATTTTTAGCACGTTATAACTAAGATATTTCTAGAGATCTTTTCCTTCATAAAAAAATATAAACATACATCTGCGTGGGCTGTTATTTATTTGGTCTTATGTATAAAATAAAAATATAATTGATATTTTTATTTTACAAGACCTAATCTTATTTAACTCAACCTTTTGATTTCGATAGTTAGAGACGTTAGCTTGTTACAATATTACATAAAAAATCTATTTTTTGTTAATAAGTGACGTATAACGCTATTTACGAAGCAACTCGCAATTGCTTGGGTATATAATGCGTCTGAAATTTACAAATACTCTACCAGGACTCGAACCCGGAACGTTTAGAGAAGAGGACAGGAAGGCTGATTTGCATCAAAATATCGTCTATATAACATTTTGTAAATATGATGAAAAAAAAACACAGAACCTCTCTTTAAAATGACGACGTCCGTGGCCGAGTGGTTTGTACACCGGGTTTCATGGTGTCGCCTACTCGAGAGGTCTCGGGTTCGAATCCCGTTGGGGGAAGACGTTTGTGTGATGAATACGAGAATATATATTTCTATATTCCATTGATGTCCAAATTAGGTCCCTCCAGAATATCAGCGTTGCAGCGGCAATCCATTTTTGCCGTTGCCACATTATGCTGAGGTGGGGCCTAGTTGACGATGTACCTCTTGTTTTATGTTTGTTGTGTATTTATTGTAATTGTTAATGTATGTCGTTATTAATTGTTTTTCTTTCTTTCTTTATATAAATATACTTATATATGTACTGTATATGTATTCTATCCGTTACCCTAGTATCCCATAACACAAGCCTTACAGTGCTTACTTTGGGGCTAGGCTAATTGATGTATCTAAAAAATATATATATCTGCGGTGTTGTCGTGTGATACTATAGCCAGCTATACACGTCGCACTCGCCACACCCTACGTCGGATGAGAGAGATTTGAGAGCCACATTAACCCGCCATGTGACGGAGGATCTCCCCGACATCGACCTAGAGGAGATCGAGGCGGCTCTTGGGCAACTTAAAAATGGAAAAGCCCCGGGGGAGGATGGAGTCACAACCAAGCTATTGAAAGCTGCCGGCAAGCCGGTGCTGAAGGAGCTCCGGCGTATATTTAACTCTGTTCTCTTCTCCGGGAGAACTCCAAGGGCGTGGCACCGGAGCTTGGTTGTACTGTACTTTAAGAAAGGCGACAAGACCTTACTGAAGAACTATCGACTAATTTCACTCCTGAGCCATGTCTATAAATTGTTTTCAAGAGTCATCTCGAATCGCCTTGCACGAAGACTTGACGAAGCTCAACCTGCGGAGCAGGCTGGGTTCCGACGGGGTTATGGTACCATAGACCACATTCACACAGTGAGGCAGGTTATACAGAAGACCAAAGAGTATAACCAGCCCCTGTGCATGGCGTTTGTGGACTATGAGAAAGCCTTTGACTCCGTCGAGACCTGGTCTGTTCTCGAGGCCTTGCAGAGGTGCCAAGTTGATTGGCGATATATCGAGGTGCTGAGATGTCTGTATGACGCCACTAATATGTCCATCGTTCTCCAGTATGGTCAGACCGAGCCTGTCCTGCTGCGCCGTGGGGTGAGACAAGGGGATGTAATATCCCCGAAACTCTTCTACGCTTGGCTGCAGGACATGTTCGGAACGCTCGACTGGAGAAGACGTGGAATAAATATTTGTTTCTTAGGTTTTCACGCACATCACTCATTAAATAAAACTAGTTTTTACGGGTTAATGCACGAAACTTTATTTATTTATTGATGTTTCGTAGCCTTTACAGGCTTCGTCGTCAGAATAAAACTTTTATTTAATTTCGTCGTCGTCTGCGAATCGAAGGCGTGAGATGTATTCGCCATTAACATTTATTCCACGCACGAAACTTTATTTATTTATTGACGTTTCGTAGCCTTTTTTTTCAAAAAAAAAAACGCTCAATAAAAGTCTTTCGAAGGTAGCTCGACAAATTAAATAAAAGTTTTATTCTGACGACGAACCCTGTAAAGGCTACGAAACGTCAATAAATAAATAAAGTTTCGTGCGTGGAATAAATGTTAATGGCGAATACATCTCACGCCTTCGATTCGCAGACGACATCGTCATCCTGGCTGAAACCCTGCAAGAGCTACAGGAGATGGTGAGCAGCCTGGCTGAATCTTCCAAACGCATCGGTCTCCGGATGAACTTGGATAAAACCAAGGGCATGTTCAACGAGCTCGTTGATCTGGGATAGGTTGCTGTTAATGGAGTACCTCTCGAGGTTGTTCAGGAATATGTCAATCTAGGACCAACGCTCCGATTAGGCAGAAACAACTTCGAGAGAGAAGCCAATAGAAGAATTCAGTTGGGCTGGGCAGCATTTCGTAAGCTTCGTCAAGTCTTCTCGTCACCCATCCCTCAATGTCTCAAGTCGAAAGTCTTCGACCAGTGCGTCCTCCCAGTTATGACATATGGCGCCGAGACGTGGACACTCACGGCTGGACGAGTCCACCAGTTTAAAGTCGCTCAGTGAGCTATGGAAAGGGCTATGCTCGGAGTATCCCTGAAGGACCGCATCAGAAATGATGTAATCCGGCAGAGAACCAAAGTAACCGACATAGCCCACCGAACTAGCAAACTGAAGTGGCAGTGGGCTGGTCACATCAGCCGCAGAACTGATGGCCGTTGGAGCCGGAAAGTTCTTGAGTAGAGACCACGACTCGGTAAACGTAGTGTAGGACGCCCTGAGACAAGATGGGATGATGATATTCGTAGGCTGGCTGGAGTGGGCTGGATGAGAGTAGCACAAAATCGGGAGCAGTGGCGTGCATTAGGGGAGACCTATGTCCAGCAGTGGACGAACATGGGTTGATGATGATGATGATGTCGTGTGAGGTTGGGCGTTGCCTTGCCTCTAATATGTTAAGTACCAAGAAAACAGTATTTCGTTAATACCTAAATGTACTACCTAAATTTATGTAATGGGAGGCGAGTTAATATATTATACATTTAAGTTGTTTTTTTACTGCATATCGGGGAAAAAAGTACTTGCTGAGTTCTCGCCGGTTCTTCTCAGTACAAGGTCATCTGCTGTAGATTGCTGGCGTAGTTTATTGAGTATCAAAACCTACTTGTCTTGTTTGTCTTGACTTAACAAGAATGAACGATAATGAACCTTGTAATACTGTGTGACCCAAAATTATTGATGGTGTATAAATATGTTACCGACCTGCTTTATTAAAACAGTCCCAGTGTAAAAATCCTTTAGTGTGATTCTTTGAGCAAGATATAGTTATAACATCATTCGTTGGACCTTCGTAAGCGTAGTTTGAGTACGACGTTTCATAAAATTTTCCATTCCCGCCTGCCAGCGACATTTCTGGAGGTTCTAAAAATCACAATTAAATAAAAGTACTAAGCTTTATAAAGTGACAGTAACTTACGTGCTAAAAAACTACATGGGATAGTAAATTGGTTGAAGTGTTCAAAAATCAAATTTCCCTTTTTTCAATAGGTTTAGACTTACAGTTACGCTTACGTCATACTTACCTTTTAATAAAAACTTTTTTTTTTTTGAGAAACCAATAACCGAATTTAACAACAAATAATTAGCGAATAATGTCAAATTATATATTTCGTGTTTTGTACCAGTTTCAAAAGTGTTTTATTAAATGATTGGTGTGGTCCGTGAAAACATAGGAACAATAAAAAAGTATATAATTTTTATTATGATTATGCTTGTTAATGTTCTTAACAGATATCAATAATAAAAGTTACCTCTATGCATAAAGTAAAAATGAAGTACATATATTTACAATTTTACATACTCCACCCATAAAAAATTACCAGCCTGCCCAATCTTGGCAGCTGAAGTTTTGCTAACATTCATAATGTATTACTTCACAGCGCTAAAGTAATATAAAAAAGAAAAAAAAAGAAACTAAGGATTTCCCAGTGAACGGAATACGGAAATTGGACAATTACCCACAACCCAGATCCAGTGCGGATTGGTAAATACCAAAGACAGCAGATGCATGTTCAAGTGTTCTTCATACCAATAATGCCAATTATCATCATCATCATCATCAGCCTATTAAAGTCCCCACTGCTGGGGCACAGGCCTTCCCTATGGATGGAATAGGGAGATTGGGCCATGACCCACCACGCGGGCCCAGTGCGGATTGGTGGGTGCTAACGACTGCAAATGCAGCCGGGACCAACGGCTTAACGTGCCTTCCGAAGCACGGAGGAGCTCGAGATAGTAAATTTTTGGTCACCCATCCAATGACCGACCACTGCGAAAGTTGCTTAACTTCAACGGTCGCAGCCGAACGCGCTAGCCACCTGCGCCATCGAGCTCCTCAATATATTAATTAACTTTTAAGCCAATTATAGTAATTAACTTATATTTTATAGTATACATTTATATACATTTCGCGAATCAATACATACTAATGTATGTAGTGATAAATGCGAAATGTATTAATTTATTATTAAATTAAGTTTTACTCACGATCAGATACTAGAACTAAAGTCGTTTTTACTTCTTGTGACCAGTATTCTGAATTATTATCGAGATTGTCATTTGCACATATTATACGAGACTTGTCATCTCGCCTCGATAATATGACACTGGCACTTACATTATTCAATATATTTGAATAACTTAGTAGTATTGTTGTATCTGGAATGAATTTCAAGTTTGTTAATCCACAGTCGCAATCTTTAATCCTACCACTTCAACATGGCTATTTGTATTAGCTATCTGTAAACTTGACAGCAGTATATCCTTATCATACTCTCAAGAGGCTGAATAGCCATTACTTTTGGCCGTCACCTAAGCTATCTGTAAACTTGACAGCAGTATATCCTTATCATGCTCTAAAGAGACTGAATAGCTATTACTTTTGGCCGTCACCTAGTCTGCCAAAAGAGATGAATATTTGATAAATATGCTAATAGTTAAGAAAAATTCTATATTTCCATATTACTTGTTACATAAATATTAAAATAAATTACGCCAAGGGCATCAACTGAAAAGGCCGAGTCTCAAGCTTCACCGAAATAGAAAAGATTAACTTATAGAAAAGAGACACTGAAAGAACCACGAATTAGAGACTGTCGTGCGAATCCGGGGTGTCTGATATCAAATCCGGATTCAGGAATAAAAATATTTTTATATTTTGTGTAATAACATCAGCTTTTAATGGTGTTGAGTAAGTAAGGCAACTCGCGACTTGACTTCACTTACACCTATAGTTGTAAAACAGCGGTTGTTATCGGATGATTATCCAAAGTAGCCGATATAATATCGTTTAGACGGCGGCGGCGGTTGACATCCGCCTGTTTATCCGACTATACCAAAAAGTGTTATAAGTTTTACAGTTCCGGAGTCGAACTTCGTATAAGCCTTAAGCTTCGTGTAAGGTTACGAGCCGTTATATGTATACAAATAGGTATTTTTACACAACCTACTCTGTCATAGTGTAAAAAATAAAATAATGTATAATATGTATAAACAGCGTCTGACAACCGGCTGCTTATCCGAATCAATACCAAAAGGCCCTGCAATTTTAAAGTTGCTGAATCGAAATTGTTATAATATACGAGCTGCTATATAACAAATAGGTACATAATCATAATCAATCATAATAAAAATCATTTATTCAGTTTAGGCTGTTACTAGCACATATGAATGTCTAGAAGCTACGACATCATACAGGTTGTATTATTACTAAATGGCACTGATTTAAAGAGGCAGTTGTAAACAGCAGTTTTGGTAAGTTAGAAAATATAAATGGCACGTTTAATAACTAGTTCAGCAGTTAAAACTAAACAGTAAAGTAAACAAAAATGAGTAAAAAATAATAATAAAATGGATCAGTGAATATACAATTGAGCAGGAACATAATTAACTGGGCGGTTAAAAATATAACAAATAAATAATAAATAAAAGAGCGAGCGGTTAGGTGTGGTCAGTAATAAATCGGAATTAAACGGTAAGAAATCTCATTCTAAGCAATTATATAAACAATGAGGTGGTATAATAAAATAAAAAAAACAGTACTTAAATAGCAATGAAGAATTAAATTACTTTTGCTTTGACTGAAGGAATTACATAAAACAAATTGAATAATAATAAGAGGAACTTTTATTCGGTAGGTGACGGTCTGTCTCTCTTTCTTTTTTATTCGAGTAGAATGTTTTTGACAAACCCAACTAACGTACATTTACCTCTCTTTTCAATGAATTTGAGTTCGGGTGTCAGGAGTGGTGTTTCGGAACGCACCCGGTAAACTTGTCAAAGTGTATCAGCTGTTTTATTATTTAATTTTAATTCAATTTTTCGTGATTTATTTATGTAAAAGTTATTTCACAGTGTAGATTACGCTATAAATATTATGTGGTATCGTTTTCCCAAGGATAGGATCCTTGATATTTGAATTATTGCTTAATCAAAATCGTAACGAACCCGCCTTGTCAAACTGAAGAAAAATTTTCAAAGTTCAAGAATTATTCACTAGAAAAGCTGAAGGACAAAGGATAAAAGTGTAAACTGCTGCATTATAAACCGGGGGAGTACATTTGTTCCTTATTTTAAATAAGCTAATATGTAAATTGATGTTTTGCTGACATTTCTTTCATAGCAATTAAGTTTCTCCTTAGTTCACACTCAAATAAACATATGACATTCACCAAACGACTTAACAAAACTCACATACTTAGTGAGTAACGTCACATTACAAAACGAAAAGCCACAGTATACCTCTCTTTGCTTGACAAAATTGGAAGTGAAGTTGATGGTGACGACTAAGTTGCTCCAGTCATTCATTGTACTATATTTTACACTGACATTACACAGACAGTACACATATTACTCAGCTTCCGACTTCAGTCACTTATTTGAGTTCTGTTCTTGAGATACTTGTTGCTTTATTCAGTTAGGAAAATTTAATGCAAAAATAATATTGAGTGCTTATGTACTAAAGATTAATAGATATTGAATACTATTCATTTAGTTTTTCTATCAATTAAGATAGGAAAGATTATATTATATACCCTCATATAATAACAATAAAAATAAAACTGTTTCTGCGAATCATTTAGCTTTGCCAATTGTGTAGTATGAAATATATTAATACTAAGTAATTCTGAACCAAACTCACATTTCCTAACTCATTCCAGGTTTTAAATATACAATCACAACAATGATGACCCGCAAAGCTGCAGCTCAATGCACAGAGCTCCAACTGAGGCATGCTCTTGAAGAACTCAAGCATGCTAAGGAGACTTGTAGTCAGCTACTGCGTGAACGAGAGGAGAGTGAAGAAGAGATTAGAAAGGTCATAGACAAGAACACTCAGCTTAAGTGCAAACTATCCCATCTTCATACTGAACACGTAGAAGTCTTACTACAACGAGACAATTTAAATGATGCCATCAGTCACTATAATGAGCAATTCAACACTTATGAGAGGGCTCTGCAGCGCATCACTGACCTTGAAAAGGAGCTGAGTGCAGCGAATACGCAAATAGCACATTTTATGGAAGTACAGCAGCTTCAAGAGTCAGCACATACTCAAAGTCTTTTTGAGGAACTGATGGCATCACCTGGAGGACCTCTGATACAGTGCCAGCAGCCCATCAATTCTAAATGTAACACTAACACTCTTGTAAATGATTTCAATTCTGACAGTTCATTTCAGTGTTCTCCCGGCAATGGACTTGTTAAACTTAGTAAGAACAAATTAAAAAGATATGTTAAGGTCAGAAGGTATATTTTAAAAACTAAGAAACTTATAAATAAAGAAAAGACATTTTATAAAAATATTGACTTTGTTAAAGAACGTACACAGTTACTACAAAAATTAGATACTTGCCGTTCCATAATTGAAGAAAATAGATTAACATATGAACAAAATATGGATTCATTGAATATTAAATTAAAAACCCTTAAACAATCGTTATCTCAAATGACACAGAATTATAATAACTCAAAAAAACAGATAGAAGAATACATTCTGGCCTTAAAGTGTCTATCTAACACCTCCCTTCACGAAGACACACCTGTAAAGTGTCACTCTTTGGTATCGAATCAGAGCATTAATGAAGAAAATGACACTGATCCAGTATGTGAGTCCTTGATTAATAAATCTGTTCACTCAGAGACCACAATTACATGTAATTCTTTTAAGCAGAGAAATTTTCATAGGTATATGGTGTTATGTGACGAATTTGGTAAAGATCTGGGTTGCTTACTACAAAAACAGCTGGGTGAAAATACAATTAATTATTGTTTGCCAGGTGTCACAATGCACCAATTAATGAAGAAAATATTAACTCTTGAACTTGACAAAAATACAAGTTTAATTATTTTAATTGGTAATAGAGGTAATGTTGGCAAAAATGACATTATGACTTACTATAACTCTTTGTGTTCTCTAAATGTAAATAGAATAGTTATGTATACATTTCCTTATAGTAAGAGTCTATCAAGTGAAGAAAATAATATTAGGTACAGGCTAAATTTGACATTAAGTACCATGTCTCAGTATAGTGGTCAAAAAGTACATTTAATTGATATAAATAAATTAATATATAATTTTAAAATGACAAGAGATAAATATTATCTTTCATATTACCATAAGAGACAAATAGCTTCTTCGCTATTATTTTATTTTACACACATAGCCAAAAACTTGGCTAACACTACTGCTTCTATTGAGCAGCATAATTATGTGGATCAGACTTTGGAATTTGTTCCAAATACTGACATTAATTGTAATTTAAATTAGTTCGTAAGACAACAGAGGAGCTCTCTAGCTATATCATGACCAAGGAAAAGTCTAAATTTCTAAATATTGTTCACCAAAATATACAAGGCTTTTCTGGTAAAGACTTAGAACTATGCTTATTTTTAAATACAATGAATATAAACATTTTATGTATTACAGAGCACTGGCTCAGAGATTATGAATTAGTTACAGGCTTAGATAATTATACAGTTGTTAGTAGTTTTTGTAGGAAATCGGCTATCAGGGGAGGCTCTCTCATAATCTTACAGAACAATCTTAAATACAAAGAACGTACAGATATTGTTACACTTTCAGTTGAACGTAATATAGAAATATCTTGTGTGGAACTTGAAGAAATGATCATAATATGTGTATATCGGCCCCCATCTGGGAATTACACTCAATTTGAGTCTGCTATGGAAGATGCTTTCAATATAGTATGTAGATGTAATAAAGTGGTTGTTGTGTGTGGTGATTTTAATATAAACATTTTAGTTAAGTGTCCATTAGTGAGTAGGTTTCTAAACTTATTTAAATCATATAACTTGGAGCATACCTTCTTTGAGCCTACCCGCATCACACATGCATCAGCGACCTGTTTAGATAATATTTTTTGTAATAGAAATGTTTTTAATAAATCAATAATAAATTGTATTAATTCTGATCATAGCGGACAATTAGCCTCTATTGAACACCATCATGCTTCACCCAAACATGACCTAACTTGTAGACCAATTACACAAACGGGTATAAATAAATTTCAAGATAGCGTTTATCACAAAATATCGTACTTACCAGTTTATAGTAATAATAATATTTTGTATGAAGATTTATTCAATTTAATTAAAGATGAATTTAATATAATATTCAAACGCAAAGTTATTAAATG